TGCTCCCCCACATGTGGCTCCACCACAACCATGTTCCCAAACCACTTCTCCAAAGCTGAGGAGAGACACGTCCCCCGCGTGGCTCCATCTGGAGCCCAGAAGACCAGAGCAAGAGCAATAAACCTCCAGTTTCGGGACACCAGCCGATTCCCAGCTGGGGAAGGGGGGTGGTTTGTCACGAAAAAGAAGCCTCCTTTATGTTCCTTTCCTATTTTTAGCCCAATTTCCTAAGGAAATGAGATGTCTGCAATCAAGTCCCTGTCCCTCCTCAATACCATTTTGAACACGGTCTCTGATTTCAGCCAAATCCGGGAGGGAGAAGCTGTAGGAAAAAAAAAACAACACCCTTTTCCTGCAAGTGTTGTGACAAAACCTGGTCACATCTCACTGGAAATCAACCCTCGAAGTTGGGAAGGCAGGAAGCAGCTGGCAGGGCCCTGCTGGAGGGACCCAGAGTAACGAGGCTGCTGCTCCCAGGGGCGGCTCCGACCCCTCCTGTGCAGGTTCCCAGGAACAGGAGCTGCCCCTGGAGCTGCCCCTGGAGCTGCCCCTGGAGCTGCCCCTGGAGCTGCTGAGGTGCTGGAGCCCGGGCAGCCCCACCCCACACATCAACACCTGCCTCAGCTCTGATGCCCTCGACAGGGCAGGGGTCTGCAGCTGCTTCTAGCTGCACCTCAGCACATCAGGAAGCTCCACCCGTGCTCAGCTGTTCTGCCCAGAGGCCCCAGCACCAGCTCAGAGAATGGGGCTGCCTTGTCTTTTTCTTCCAGTGTTGAGGAAAAAGATTTAAAAAAATAAAATAAAATCACAGCCCTGCAATGATGTCAAGTGATGAGACCCCAGGCTGGACTTTGGGCCTCTCTCAAGAGGCCTTTTAAACTGGACTTAGTGAGAGAGTGTCCTCCAGGACAGGTCCTTTGCCCACCCAGGTCCCCTCTTGTGTTGTGTTTGATCAGCCACGGTGCAGCTGACCATTCCAAAGACATCAAAAGCCCAGCAAGGTCTCACGGAAGGGGACTGAGGGCAGGGAAGGCTCAGCCTCTTCCTACACAGAAGTAACCATACAGGAGATCCATGTGGATGTTCTCAGCATGGAGAAAGCATCTGTCAGCTCTTAAGCAAAGTCCCTGGAGCTCAGGGACCAGAGCTCTAGGGAGCAGCCCCTGTCCCTGCCCCTCGCTGAGCTCCTGCTCTAGACCTCTAAGGGCTCCTGCTGGAGAACCCAGCAGCACACCCAGACACTTCCCACACATCCAACCTGCTCTGTGACACATGAGTGTTCCTGGAACACAGCACTGCCCTTGCAGCAGGGCCCACTGAGGTGGCATTTCCATCCAGATCTATCCCATCTCCTGTACTTCTTTAGCCTTCAGGACAGCAGGCAGCACTCAGCAGAGTCCACCTGAAACACTTTTTGGTGGTAAATGTCTAAAACCAGCCAAGTGCAGAGTGATGACACCTTAGCTAGCCCAAGGCAGAGCTGAGGAGGAGACACATCCCTGGCCAGCTTGCATCCAGCTTCCTCCTCTCCCTCCAAGACACTGTGGTGTTTCACTGATCTCCAGAACAGGGGCAGGACTAGACTGACCCAGACCAGAACTGGTGTAAATTCGTTTCTTTTTCACCCTGCATTGAAGTCAGCAAAGCAGGGTGCTGCAATGCAGGGTGTGGTGCTCACCTCCAGCCCTGGGCAGCACCAGACAGCCCCGTTCTGCTGCAGACCCTCCTGCTGAGGTGAGGAGCCAAAAACACCCCTTGGAGGGAAAACAGCTCTGCACCCTTCAAAGCCTTCGCTCATGAGCAGCTGGATGGGACCACTGTGACCTTCCAACTCAACTCCAGCCACTTCAGAGACACCACAGAAACAAGAATCCTTGTTTTCTTCAGGAAAAGGTTGGGTTGGGCCCCACAGCCGGGGGTTTATATCCCTGACTGCACATCTGGGGACTGCTTGGAGGAACTCCCACTCACCTGAGGCACAGATCTCCTTGGCATGGTGGGGAAGCCACACGTGTCTTCCCACACGTGGTCCCAGGTTTGCTGAGGACCTTTCAGCTGGATGACAATGGAAACATGACTTTTATCATCTGCGATCGCTGAATAAGCCACCTCCAGCATCACAAGGCACCTGTGGTGGAGCCAGATGGAAGGAGGTGGAGTAGATATTGCTTTCTGTTGAAATATTTGTGGTCAGGCTATTCCATACTTGCAGTTTTTGAAAGATGTGGAGCCTGTGCTGGGAAAGGGGCCAAAGGCACCCATGAATCATGTCCCTGCAAACAGGAATCCAGCAGAAATAAAACCTTGGCCTAAAGCAGACGAGGAACCAAAACACCCCAGGCTGTAGCCTGAGATCATGGTAGTCCCAGACCTTGGTCCAAACCAAGTCCCTGCTGGATGGTTGGCTATTTTGAGAGCTCCCAAAAACCCCCTGAGCTTTTCTGCCTCTGAGAGAAGGAAGTGCTGTGTTTGGTTTTATTTGGAAAGGGAAGGCAAAATAAAAGCCAGTTCCTTCTCTTCCCCTGAGATGCTGGGAAGGTGTGGGATGCTCAAAGATCTGCACAGAAACCAGCTCAATTCCAAGCCACCTTCAAAGCCTGCACCCTGTTTTATAAAATGACCAAGGTCTGGCCCAGCTTTGGTCCCACAATGTTCAGCTCATCTCCAAGGGCTCAGGGCCCGTGTTTCCAGCTCACACCTCTCACTAGTGACTCACAGATGTTGTTCCTGCAGGGACGGGGCTGCCAGCTCGACTGGTGAGTGTTAGGGCTGCTGGGGGCCATGGGGAGTGCCATCCAAGAACAGACCTGGAGCCAGGCAGCCCTGTCAATAAACATGTTTGTGGTTGCTATAGCAAAGCCAGCAGGCAGCTCCGGGCTCAGGGCCCTCTCCCCGCACACTTGCTCTGCTCCTGCCAAGAGCAAACCCTGCTGCTGGCTCTGCTGGGCACAGGGACACGGCGGGAGCAGGGACATGGATCCCAGTCGCCTCTTCCACGTCCTATAAATAGGGAGAGAGAAACCAGCTGAAAGGCCCCAGCTCCCAGCCCGGCTCCCTGCCCAGCCGCTCCCCGCGGGCTGCCAGGGCTGCATTCCCTTTCTCTCCTTAATTAAGGGGTTCTTTTTTTGGAAGAAGAAAACCTCCAGTGCAAGAGGGCTCAAACCAAGGCAGGTTCCTGGTGTTTCACTCTGGCTGCTGCAGATTTCTAACCACCAACGTGCACCTCGAGGTGCGGCCGAAGCGCGGCCTGAGCCTGCTGGGAAAATAAACCTGGCACCAGGGAAGAGTTCAAAGATGCCTTCTCAAAGCTGGCAGGGAAGCAAAAACACACCGAGGGGCACACGAACAGCACTTCCCTTGCACCCCAGCAGCCCCAGCAACTCGTCCAATGAACTTTTCAAGCTGCCTGGCCCCTTCTCAGGGCAAACGCTGCAGCTCCGGGAGCAGCAAAGCTCGGGAACCTGATGCTGACCCCAAATTCAGACCCAGCTGCTGAATCCCTTTGCTGGCCCTGGGGTCCCAAGGAGAGAGTTTCCTGCAGTTCTGGTGTCCTGCAGAAGCTGCCTGTGCAGGAGAAGGGACGGGGTCTGTCACACCTCACTGGGCTGCACAAACAACAGCTCCTCACCACGGGAAGCCCTCATGCTGGGAGGGATGGCTTTGCTCGGGAAGCTTATTTTTGAGCACTGAGCAACTTGCCAAGGGAAGGAAGAGGAACCCCACCACGGAGGTAATTTAAAACTTGTCCAGACAGAGCTCTGGCTGCACACCACAGAAAGCTGTCCTGTGGGTTGACAGGCTCGGGCTGTTTCCCCTTCAATCCCGATGATCACGTTGTTGTCAGGACACAAAACCCCAACCCAAGCACCTGGAAGCAGCCGTGGCCACCACATCCCACTGGAGGGTTTGGGAGAGCAGCTTGAGCCTTTCAGTGATTGCAGCCTCGCTCCAAATCCAGCTCTTGAAAGCCTCTGGATCTGAGGGGGAGGAAAAAGCCCACCCTGCAGCCACAAAGGAACAGAGGTGCTGTGGTCCGTGGCTCTCCAAAGGGCACAGGGGAGGTCAGGGCTGGGTTGACATGGGCTCCTGTGCACACCAGGAGGGCTTGGGAAAACACCTCCCCTCGCTGGCACAGAGGGGGGTCCTCAGGGTCCCTCCAGGATCCAAAGAGCAGCACAAGCCTGGCTGCTGCCCCAGGGGGCTCAGAGGTGGGGGACAAGCAGGCAGCTGTGCCCTGGAGGAGCTGGCAGGAGCCAGCCCTGCTCCTCACCTCAGCTCTGAAGACCCTGGGCAAAGCATCTCAAATTCCCCCCTGATCAGAGCAGCAAGATGTTTTGTCCTAACAGATACATTTCCACTACGAATCACTGCTTAGAAGAAAAAAAGGAAAGGAAAAAAACCAAGCCTGCTGTGTTGAGAAACCTCTGCTCTGACCCTGTGTGTGGCAAACCAGCCCCAGCAGCCAGGGAGGATCACGAGCAGCCACCCCCGCGGGAAGCCAAACGGGGACTTGTGATTTCACTCTGGAGAAGAACTGGGGATTTCTGCTTCCACTTGAATGGCAAAACACTTTAAATTCCCCTGAAGAAAATGTAAAAAATACCCCCCTTTTGCCTCAGTCTGAATGCAGGAACTGCAGGGACACCAGTCACTGAGCACAGCAACAGCAGCTTCAATCAACCAGTTCTACACAGGTTCTGCCCTCCAGGCTCAGGCCTCACCTCTGGGGCTGGAGCCCATGGCCCTTTTCTCCCACCACCAGGAGCTCCAGGTTTTTTGCTCCAGGTTTTTTTGGGACACAGCAGAGCCTGAGTTCCTGCAGCACACAGAGCAGGCAGGCAGGGGCAGACCCAGCTGGCACCAAACAGCCTGACAGTGACCAGTGGATCCCAGGTTCTTCAAAACCCCTGACCAATAAACACCATCAAGGCAGAAATAACAGCTTAGAAAAATATTTCATGTTGTCTTTTTTTTTTTTTCTTTTTGGAAAGGAATCACATCTAGGTTTCCATTCCCACCAACCGCACAAAGTCCAGAACCTTCCAGCAACAAGGCAGGTTTATTTCCACAATTGCCTGAGGCACAAACTGCTCAACACCTGCTCAGCCCATCAGGACAGACAGGGGGAGATGTCTATGGTGTTTATCCGCAGGACGGTCTGTGGGTGGATGATGACTGAAAAAGAGAGGGGAAAGGCAACGGGATCAGCTAAGAGCACAGAACTGCTGTTTACCTTTTGGGAGGCTCCTGCTGGTTTGGCCCCAGCAGCCCCAGGCAGCCCCAGAGAGCTGGCTCTGGGCAGGGGCTGGGCTGGCAGATGCTGCCACCTGGACAGGACCTGGGCAGGACCTGGCACACCAGCCTGAGCAGGAGGTCTGGGCAGGGCTCCCCTGGGACTGGCTCAACCTGGCCAAGGCTTTTGTGTCTATTCCATTTAAATGTCTGTTCCATAATTTCTCTCCCTCTCTCAGTCATACCTGAGAAGGGGCCATGGTAATCCAGAAGCCTGCCACAGGATACTGCTGCATCTTGCTAATACCTGGGATTACATATTGAATATTTAAGGCCTTGGAATAAGAACAAGAGGGCTTTTCTGCCCAGGGTACCTTTAGTCAGGGAGGTGTTTTGCAAGGCTCTCTAACCACGGGAATACGAAGGCACCGGGAAAGGTGCAGGGAAGGGTGTGCTGTGCCATGAGGAGCCCTGGGGACATGGGGAAGGAGCTTCCCTGCCCAGCCACTGCCCTGGCTTCTGGTGCCTCCCCCTCCCGGATCCAGCACCAAGTGAAGCTCTGTCCCCTTTTCATCTTACTCTTCCTCCTTTCATAATTGTGCCTCTTCCAAAAGCGCACGTTGATTTTCGGCCACGACTCTGTCTTCTCAATCACAGTGGCCTCCACACGGACCAGATCTTTCCTGAAAGGCAAGAGTTGGAGAATATCACTTTTTCATTATTTACATTCTCCCCCACCAGCCAGCAGGTTTCTGGGGAAAGGTGACACAGAGGCAACACATCCTGCCTTCCAGAGCCCAGACCCACAGGATCTACAGTCTCCAGGGAAGGAGGGAGATCTGCTGGGCTGTTGGCTCCTGGGTGCAAACATGGGGGCCTGAAGTTGCTGCACGTGGATCAGCCAAGTGATGGGACAGTTCACAAGGCAGCACCTCTGTCATGTGAGGGATGAGATCAGGAACAGCTGAGGAAGGAGCAGGAAGACAAACCTGCAGGAACTTGTAGGACCACAGTGAGATAAATTTCCCTGTCACATTGACATGATCTTACATGTCCTGCTGTGCTTGTGGCACAGGTTAAACCCACCCCTGGTCCTTCTCCTGGGCTACACTGGCCAACACAGAGGTCCTTCCTCCTTCTACAGTGTCACTGACAGCTGGACACCTGAGCAAGTCCTGGCAATGTCTCAGTGAAAAGGGCTTTGGCCACTGTTTCTAGCAGGAATCCCAGGCAATCGGCTGCTGGAGCAACTCACTGCTCCTCCCATGTGCCTCTCCTGCTCTGCCCTGCTGGCTGACCCCAAACTGGAACAGAGGACAGGGACCTGGGGAGGATTTCACACACTGCTTCTCACACCAGAGCTGGGGGAGCTCAGGTTGAGTGACCAGACCACTGAAATAATCTGATTTTGTCTAGGTCTCATTTCTACACCTGGAAACTCTCAGCAAGTGAACACCCTGCCTCCCCAGGGATGGAGAGGAAGAGAAGAATATGGCCTGAACTTCCTTTGCAGGTGAGTAAGATCCCAGAGCAATTCATCCCTCCACATCACCTTCCCAACAGGCAAACACCCCTCCTGCCCTCCCCACCAAAGCTAGAAAAAGGGGGCTGGGATCTCGAGCTGCTCCCAGAGGGAGGCCAGAGCTGGGCACAGGGGGTGGGAAGCAGGCGCTGCAGGAGCAGCACCTGCCTGCACAGCAGCTCCTCTCTGGGCAGAGGAGTCTCTCCAGACAAGAGCCAGACTTCAGAAAGTGTGCCTTTCATCAGCAGCCCCAAGGGAGGAGGAGGAGGAGACACTCTCCATGAGCCCCCCTGCAGAAGCCATTAAAAGCTCATCACACACTGGCTTCGCTTCGGAAGACATTGAAAGAACATTCTCCTGACAAATGGCCCTGTCTGCACTGAAGGGGGGCAGAGGGGGAAGCCCATCCAGCCTGACTGCTCCAGCGAGGTCACCGGGAGGCCAAGGGCTCTGAGACATTCACCATCTCTCAACATTTACCCTCCAGGGTGTAATAAATATATATCTACATCTCAAAGACCGAACCCTTAAGGGAGGAGGGAGGGCAGCCCGAGCAGCAAACTGATCTGTCTGCACTCAGTGAGTAGCCCAGAAGAAAACAGACATTTCAAGAGACCACTGGGTGAGACTGACCCCCCAGCTGCAGGCTGTTCTCCCCAGTGGCAGGACCCCCCAGCACCCCTGAGCACTCATCCAGCTCTGGCAGGCCAGGGAGGAGCCCAGCACTGAGGGGCTGCCTGTGCCTCCCCCCTGCCTTGGGAGCTGGGGCTAATTCCTGCCTGGGGAAGGCAGGGGGAAAGCTAAACTCTCCCTGACTTCTCCCAGGCTTGGACTCTAAAGGCATGCAAGAACCTCAGTGCTGAGGATCACATGGGAGAACTGGAGAGCAGCCAGGCCAGCTGAAGCCACTCGCTCAGCCACATCTCCTGCTCCTGGGGTTTGCACAGCACAGCCAGGCTGGCAGGGACAGCCCCCATCACTGCCCTGCCCTGGCTGTCCCAGGCAGGATCCAGCCAAAGGGACAAACATGGACACAGATCTGTAGATAAGTGTCCCCCCTACATTGCCCTTAGATGTTGACGTGCTCCCCAGCAAAGCTTTAAGGGTGCTGTTGAGAATCCAAGTGGGCTTCACTCTGCACCTCAAAGCTCAAGGCTAGTAGGTCCTGGAGGATCCTTCCCTGTTGGACAAAGCACCAGGACCTGCTGGGTGAAAGGCTGAAGCACAGCAGAAACCAACTTGGGGTGAAGTGCCCATGAACAGAGAAGTTCTCAGCAAAACAGAGCCCAAGGAGAATAAATAAATAAATAAATGGTTATCAAATGTTTTAGGCATGACTGGAATGTCCATAAAAATGAAAAGGGGGTCACACATTTCCCAGAGCCTGACAGGGACAGCCAGGCCTGCTGCTTCTAGCAGCAAAATGCTTCAGGACAAAGCACACCTACCAGATTCTTGCAGGAGGCAGGAAAAATTCCCACTGAAATCTCACAGCCCTCAGCTGGGCTGAGAGCTCTTGGCACCAGAGAAAGATCCAGGCTCCTACCCCAAAGGATCTTAACTCCTGGAAGCAACAATTCCAGCTGACAAGCTCAATCCCTGCAGCAGGCAAAGGAATGCCAGCCTGGCTGTCTGGGAGCAGAACAGGTCCAAGGCCCTTTGGCATTCCCACTGAAGCCAGTGCAAAAAGGGGCAGGGAGCAGGAGAGGGAACAGGACCGACCTAGAGGAAAACATTCCCACTGGCTGTACTTTGTCTAGCAAGAAGCTCAGTGTTCTCCCAGAGTCACCATTCCTCTCCCTCAGGTCTGGAGCAGCTGAGGGTACTCCATGGATGGCCTGGAGAGCAAACCTGCCCAGGTTATGCTCAGGGCTGAGCACAGCCTCAGACCTGCACCACTTACCATCCAGCTGAACAAAGCACCACTGCCTGGTGACTCTGTGCCCCGGAACACACACAGATCCCAGCAGATTCCAGAGCAGAGGCCAGGAAGAAGCTCCCAGAATAGCCTCTGCCACACAGCTGGTTTGTTGCACTGTTGTTTTCTGAGGCTTTAGAGGAGCCTCATCTTGGGAGGTATCTGCCTGCTCCAGCAAATCTCAGGATGGCTGTGTCCAGAAGAGGACAAGCTCCTGCCCACCCCCAGGCCTGCAGGGGGTACAGCTGGGAGGAACAGTCTCCTGCAGACACTGGGCCAAACATTTGCTCATCTGTTGATTTTTAAAACAACAGGCAAACAAAACTGCCTTTGTTGGCATCCAACCTATTGGCTCCCTCCAAAGCCTCTGTGGTTTAGGCACAACTGGGATCTGTGGGACACAACTGCAGTCCCCATAGGTTCTGCTTTCCTCTCCTCAGCCAGGGTACTTGGGAGGTTTCCTTGCAGCTGGGAGGGAGGAGGGCACCTCTCCCCCAGCCCTCCCCTCTGCCTGCTCAGCCTCCTCCTCCTCCCACAGATCCTCCTCTGCCAGAGGCCCTGGAGTTCAAGCAAACACTGCCAGATGTGCAGCCTGGTCTGCTTCAAGCACCTGACAAGTCTCTCCCCTCACTTGGAACACCTGCAGGAGCCACACAGCTGGTTCTCCTCCTGCCTCTGAGCTCCTGGGCCTGGGGCCACCAGCCAAGCCCAGCACACAAACTGGGAGTTGCAAAGAACCACCCCAGGCCCCCTGGTTAAGAGATTCAGATGAAAGATGATGCTCCTGAGCTGCACAACTTGGGCTCTTGCTTGAATGAAGATGACATTTCTAGCCCTAATGATGAGATTCCTTCCTCTTCCTAAAACCTTGCACAAGTGCCATGCCTGGCAATCATTCCAAGACTCCCTAGGAGCTGCTGCTCCAGATCTATTTGCAGAGCTATTAAAAGGACTGGCAGTTCCCTCACACAGGGAACCCGAGGCAGTTGCCACCAGTGCAACTGAAATCCTGTTACCAACTGCACCAACACTTCACAGCTAACTCTTAAGTGCCCACAGCCCCTGGGGCTGCAGAGAGCACCCAGCCATGGAACCCACCTGAAACCAGGTGCCATTCCTAACCTGGCTCTACCAGCCACCAAGAAATACTCCTCAGATGTACAAGTTCCTCCTTCTCTGACCAAGCTGCTTCTCTGAGCCAAAGCTGCTGCTGTTCAAGCTAAGACCTAAACGTGTGGTTCAGCCTCCAACTGGACCACAACCAGGGTTTCCAGACACTCTGAGCACTTCTGACTTGGGTTCCACCACTGAGTGGGATACCTCTCATCCTGAGTAGGAAAAATAGCAGTTTATGACTTCACTTCTGGCTAGTCCCCACACCTGCCTTTTGGAACAGCAAAGGCAGAACCACCAGGTGTCCTGCCAGTTTGTAGAGCAAGTCCCACAGCACTGGGATGGAGATGGTGCCAAGGGGGGAAATGCCCCCTCCTCATTCTGTGACTGCTGGACTGTGTGACTAGGAATAAGGGGAAACTGGGAACCCTATATGAACGGCTGCTGGTTTGAGACAAGGGCAAAAGGAAATGGAGTAAAAAACCCCAGTGAAAATGATTAAGGGACAGGAAAGGATTTCTGGGCTACTCCAAGATGACTATCACTGAAATTAGGGTCAGGGACTAAAGATGTTGAAGAGCAAGATCTACTGCTAGTTTGTGCAAGGCTTATACCATGAGAAATAGCTCCAGCCCAGCAGAGGTGAATATCCCAGACACCTCAGAAATGGCACTGCTGCCCTGCCTGGCACTGGGGGTGGCTGGGGCAGCAGGGGCAGAACACCTTGTTCTACTGGTGACTCTTTCAAAAGCCACAGGGCTGGGAAAAAAAAGTGCTGATAAATCCAGGTTTCTCTTCAGCTTCAGGGACTGCAGGAGCCCTGGATCTGCAGTTAAGTACAGGAATTGCCTTGAAGAGAATTCTTGCATTCATCTTACCCCAGGAGTGGCCTTCCAATGAGGGTGAAGTCTTCAGCCCCAACCAGCAGAACCTGTGGACAATAAATCAGGCATTATCACTGGTCCCTCTCCCAGCAGAAAGGGAAACAGCATCTTCCAGCCTCTACAGTCACCATAAAGGTGTCAAACTGCTTAAAAACAGGCCTTTACCCATTTCAAACCTGACACTGGCACTGGAGAGGGATGGGGGAAATGGGCAAGAGACAGAGTGATTAAACCGAGTCCTCCAGGAGAGCAAATCCTACTGGAACATTCCTTACAAGGATCTTTCACATGGATCAGAACACACTGAACCGTTCTGTTCTGGCTCACCAGCAGTTGTAAAAGACCCAAGAAGCAACACAGGGAAGAGGAACAACAAGCCTTGTGTGGGATCTGAATGAATGGCAGCTCCTAAAACCTGGGATTTTTATGGCAACTGCTGTGTATCCCAGCAGGGAAATGCTTTCCTCATGCTCCTCCCTGGGGCCTCAGGATGGGCAATAAAGAAATGGACACCTTCAGGGGATTCTCCACCCCAGGGACTCACTCTTTTGTTCCAGGACACTGACACCACCTGCCCCTCTAAAGGAGCAGGCAGGACAACCAGGAGAGAAGGCAGCAGATCCTGCAGCTGCGTCTTCTCGAGGCTGTGGAGCAGCTAAAAGCAACATGTCAATGTCATGAGGGGTTCTGGCTTCTGGCTTAGACAGTAAACCCTCCAATTATTTAATCTTCTTCACTTCCATCTAGACCTCTGCATTCCTAGCTGGCTGCTCCACACAAATCCTCTCTGTTGTGCACAGAGCTGCAGGACACAGCTGCAGACAAGCCTAAAAAGTGCCTCAAAACTGGAGCTGGGAGCAAGGGAGGAGTGGGAGCACTGCCTGGCTGTCCCTGACTGCTGGCTTGGCTCTGGCAACCAGCACTAGGGGCCACCAGCATCCCACCTCATAATCTCTCACTTAAGCTTTGGATTAATGAGCCTCTACAAGTTCTTGCTAATTAACCAAGGCAACAGATAAAGATATTGAACTGCATCTTGGCAGCTCTCCCCTCCATGGCCCTCCCTCTCCATCCAGCCATGAGAGGGATCTCAGGAAGCACAGAGCAGTGACAGTCCCTGGGGGCACTGCAAGTGCTGTGGGTGTTGGGGTCTCAGGGTAAGCACAGCCTTTGGCTGCTGTCTCTAGGAACAACAACTGTAATTTTCTTTCTTTTTGGCTGGGGTTAGTCCAACAGGAACCTGTCTCCTCACAGAGTCTGGCATGACTCACTCCCACCCTGCTCAACAGAAATCAGGATATTATCACTAGCAGAGGAGCTGAACTTGGAACAGAAGGAAGGCAAAGCCAATGGTGGGAACGGGGGATCTGATGGGAGGTGTCCAGGGCTGGCTGCTGCCAGCTGGCTGAGGGCCTTGCCTGGGGCAGGCTCTGTGCTCTGCCCCGCACGCACCTTCTCCAGCCGGATCCGGTCTCCACACTCGGCCTCCAGCACGTTGTCCATCATAATCAGGTCTTCACTGGTGATTTTCCACTGCTTGCTGGCAAAGTGGACCACAGCAAAGAGTCTCCCGTAGCGCCCGGCCGCGATCAGCCCGTTCACCCTCTGCACCACATCTGCCAAGGGCAGGGAAAGGATCAGGGACAGGAGCAGGGCAGGGAAGGGAGCAGGGCAGGGAAGGGAGCAGGGCAGGGAAGGGAGCAGGGCAGGGAAGGGAGCAGGGCAGGGAAGGGAGCAGGGCAGGGAAGGGAGCAGGGCAGGGAAGGGAGCAGGGCAGGGAAGGGAGCAGGGCAGGGAAGGGAGCAGGGCAGGGAAGGGAGCAGGGCAGGGAAGGGAGCAGGGCAGGGAAGGGAGCAGGGCAGGGAAGGGAGCAGGGCAGGGAAGGGAGCAGGGCAGGGAAGGGAGCAGGGCAGGGAAGGGAGCAGGGCAGGGAAGGGAGCAGGGCAGGGAAGGGAGCAGGGCAGGGAAGGGAGCAGGGCAGGGAAGGGAGCAGGGCAGGGAAGGGAGCAGGGCAGGGAAGGGAGCAGGGCAGGGAAGGGAGCAGGGCAGGGAAGGGAGCAGGGCAGGGAAGGGAGCAGGGCAGGGAAGGGAGCAGGGCAGGGAAGGGAGCAGGGCAGGGAAGGGAGCAGGGCAGGGAAGGGAGCAGGGCAGGGAAGGGAGCAGGGCAGGGAAGGGAGCAGGGCAGGGAAGGGAGCAGGGCAGGGAAGGGAGCAGGGCAGGGAAAGGAGCAGGGCAGGGAAAGGAGCAGGGCAGGGAAGGGAGCAGGGCAGGGAAGGGAGCAGGGCAGGGAAGGGAGCAGGGCAGGGAAGGGAGCAGGGCAGGGAAGGGAGCAGGGCAGGGAAGGGAGCAGGGCGAGCTGCTGGGGCTGCCCAGACACCCTGCCCTCCCACCCCTCTCCCTCTTACTCTCATCTGCTGGGAACCTTTAAGCAGGATTAAGAGCAATGTTGTCTCCTATGAGGTGGGACCCTCCTGTTTATAAACTCAGTGACCACTTTGTGCCTCAGCTGCTGGCAAACCCATGCAGCTGTAAACCCCTGGTGTGTATATTCTGCAGCTAATCCAAGACTGCTGGATTCTCAGCCTGTTCCTCAGGCATCCCCAAATCCACTCTT